CAACCTGCACATATCTGAGAAGAAATCCAAAGATATGTGTGAAGTCAACCAACCCGCACTGGGTTTGCGTAGTTGACTATAGCCTAATCACCCTTAACTTAGGGTAGGCTCCGAGCCTCTCCGTGGGGACGTATAGTAAGCTGATGATGATATTTAGTTTTGAGCGAGATTTTACTGTATAGATAAGAAATAAGAGCTTAGATCACTTTTTGAACAAAATAACATGAACATTAATAGATTTATTTGGTAGCTACGTTGTGACATATAGACAAATAGATAGATACACGTGCTAAATTTATATCAAGAAGGGTTATAACAGACCAAATATAACAAAAACTTAAATATAGTACTGGTTTGTACTGTATCTAGAGATATTTTTCTTCGATCGGAAGTAGACACGGATATGGTCCATTTGACTTGTCTTGTTTAGGAATCGAACCGGCTTCAATACCTGATAGAATAACCGGGTCAGCCGGTGTTACTTAGTTAAATCAGTAGCTTCATGACAGTGGAATAAGGGTGATATTCCACCATGACTTTATACAGCGATAAAAATACGTGCTCCAAATGAAAATCAACTTATGGGCATTAATAAACAATAAATTTAATATACTCTGAAGTCATTGCTTATAGGATTTTATAGCGATATTATAGCGTTTTATTTGTAACTATATCGCATCGGTATAGCTTTAAATAGCCGATAGTACACTATGGTTGACTGGCTTATGTCATGGCGCGCCCCTCACGGCTCGTTAGGCCAGCCATTAGTGGTAATGTGAGTTTAAACGATGCCACAATCAGGACGTGGTCGCGCGAATGACTGGCCGTGTGGACAATCACGTATGTCACGGTGGCTCGGAAGCCATACTAATTGTCAGGTGCCGTCACCGAATAAGGTACAATATAAAGGTATCGGAGTGTTTTACAATCTTACTTCTTATTAATATTATTATATAAATGCCAATGTTTAGATGCGTGGATGGATGGATGTTTCTTAAAAGTATTTCATCAATGGCTCAACAGATTCGATAGTATTTGGCATAGAGCCTGGTAAAACCCATAGGCTACTTAAGTTTTTTTTTACTTTCGCATTTACTTATTCATTTTTTATTAATAAGTAAATGCTTCAGAATTCCTTTTCTTTAGAAAAATACAGTTTTGTTCGATATGATATAAAAATATGAAATGTTATAAATTTTTTATTTAACAATCCATTCGCGAAGCCCTTTAGTCTATGAAGCCCTATGCCCATTGTTCGTGAGTTCGCTTGTTAATCAAACATTTACGACCCTAGCAAGTCGTGACGTCAGTACGGCCATTGTTGTGTCTAGGTGCATCATCCAACCTTAACACTTCCCCGTTTGTTCCGCCTCGAGTGGTTACCTAGGTCACTTGGCTTCATGCTTCGATAGTTCTTAACGGTTCTTAGCAGACAAGATGTAGATAGAAGTACTGGCAATCCAGTAATCCGATACTTTACAAAGGTTTTAAGTCTCCAAATTAAAATAGACTATATAATGATAAAAAATGTTTTCTAGATGTGTTAATACAGCTTAAAAAATCACGTTGTTTTAATTAATAAATTACATAAATATTTAACGAGTAGTTATTTTCGCTTTTACGTAGTTAGTGGTTAATTAAAATAAAGCAAATAAGTTATGTTTGGCCTTCACCGGTGAGCCGGCAGCGCGTTGCCTGTGGAAGCAGAACGCATCAGTATGGAAGTGGCGCGCAAAGAGCGAACGCATCGTTAGTGTAGGGTTGCCAGATTAAAGAAAAACTCCCGAAAATTAATTTAAATTTAAAAACGTTTTAAAAAAAATGTTGATAATCAATTAAGAGACAATGCGGCGGTAATTAAAATCGATATCAGATGCATAAATAATTGCTAACAAAAGTATTGAAATAATTTGGATAATTATTCCTTTTATCTAAAGTATAAAAAAACGTATATATAGATGTGCAAAAGTCTTAGCCCTTACAAACACATACGCAATAAAAATGGAAATGTTAATAAATTTAGATTTTAGGCCTGGCTTATTTATTTATTCGATCGATACAACCCTGCTTTGAACACGAGCCTTCTCAGGCATATAGTCGCAACGGTTCGAGATCGGGAGCGAGGGAATAACTAACTGGGAACGATTCCACGCAGATCGCTCGTTGCGCTGTTCCTGTAGCGTTACGTTCCGTTTTGCTTCTATCACTTTGCTACGTATTACTTTTTTTAAGTCAGTTTATTTGTATTAAACCTACTGGATTTTACATTACATTAAATTATTTAATCATATTACTGAAAGAACTTATTTACAAGAACTTATTTACTACTAATTCCTGAAAACAAGGTTTAACTGAAATAAAAAGAAAATATTTACAAACTTAATGCGCCTACCGTACTATTTAAGTGCTTTCAGACAGAAATAGCCATCTAGGCAGTCTAAAGTAATGAACAAAATGTATTGTATTGATACAGACATAAGAAACCATTGTAACAATTAGTTATGTGAACACATGTTTTATAACAAGCGTCAACAATACGTTTACACAGTACACTTCACAGAAACCTGTTTACTCAGAAGCAATGCCGCTCATATTGTGCGATACATCGTAGGTCGACAATGAGTGCTTGTGCGCATTTCGTTTGTGCCATTGCCTTATTTTACTTATCATGAATACACTTATTGAGTGTTACGCAAGTTATTTCTTATATACAATCTAGATGGTAACTTTATCTGTCAATGTAATCAATTTTTAGATTAAGTATTTCTCCGTAACACTTCGAACTATTGTTATTATTTGGTTATCAACTAAGCAAAATTTTCAATAATAAGCAATTTCAAAGGTAGGAAGTTAGTAAATGAAACTTTTAGGTCGACGTAACAGTTAATATAAAATATTATCGTAAACAAATCTCTGTTGTTTGTTATAAAAGTTACATAACTACACGGAACAATATAATTTTTTGCTGACTGCATCTTACACTCAGAAACGTAAACATGTAGTCATTTTTAGATATAGTCTAAAATATAAATCGACCCACACGTATATAAAAGTTACTAATGTATTGGTGAGATATCTCTTTTAGCAATAGTATTGGTAATTTACCGTAACAAATTAACTAACCAAGTCATGTTTATGGATGAGACTGAGACGAATCAATCCATCGTATGGTCTACGATACGTTCCATAGTTCCAATTAGTACAGTGAAAAACAATCGTAAACGAATCGATTAAATTCGAACACGCATCACTAATTTTGTAACTTTGTTATTATATAATCTGTGGAACGGAATTGGTTTACACAACTAGTACTCTCAATATATTTTTCTATTAAATATTTCATCGCACAATCTTAAAACATCTTTTGTGTTCTGATACTGATTTACGCTTGACGCCGTTCCGCGTCCTCTTTTGCCGGCACGAAAAAAGCCCATTGTATGTCAAGCCAAGACTGAGTAATGAACGCGAGACCTACTTCCGTTTGTATGATTTTTTTTTAAGAATAGCATTATAGTAATTAAATATCGTAATTAACAATTTTCACTTAATTAAAAACAGTAGAGTAAATTCTTTTCATCTAATTGATTAATTAAAAACTTACAGTGCATGGATATTTTAACTTAGCTAATTTACATACTTTCGGAACAAATATTCATGCAAATTTCTTAATTTTACATTTCGACGTGCTCAAACCACTGAAGCATACATATCTTATTTATGTCTTAACATCGATATTGAAACTAGCAACGTATCGTATAAGTAAAACTTGAACCTGGCTTCTATGCCTAGGATAGGTCCTAAAGGATTGTAAACAAGGTTGCTAGGATTGTTAACTTGTGTACAGAATTAGAATTCGTCATGTCTTTTACATCTTACTTGCTCTATAAAATTATACGTGGATTTTTTGATTATGTCAAGACATCGTTTAATTAGCATTCTTTACAATGATCGTCAATGTACAGCATCGGATACGGAGGCGGCTAGGTGTTGCCCACAACGTGCGTGACTCAAACATCGTGTCTCATTAAAGCGTCTAATTAGCAATTCATTTGCAACAAACACGATGTTGTTATGACTTAATTATAATCAAAGAAATCATATTTATAGTTCTATTATAATATCTTAGACATAGATACTTAATCCCCTATTTTCATCCTTTTTTCTATCTAAATTCTAAACTGTAATTGGATACCAGGGTAGGAGTTTATTTATCTTATTAATCTGCAAATACAACTACTATTTATTTTAACTAATTTAGCTTATTTTTACAATTATTTCGTGAATTTATCGATATTTACGCCGATAAGTGTAGTAATGTATGTAGTAAAATAAATAAAATAGTAATGAAGCTAAGCGTTTAAATAAATCAATGGAATGAAAAATGATATCATTTGTATCGACTTATTTTGTAATTGGGCAATACTGAAACGTAAATAAGTATGTTAGTTATATGTAGTTCGTTTCGGCATATTAATAGAAGCATCCTTATGACTTTGAATTGTCTGGATCATACTTCGTACGCTGGCCTACAAGGACAGCAATTATTACGACATTGCGTCACCCTCGCCTTATGTCCAGCAGATGTGTCTGTGTACATGCTCTTTGTCGTTTTATAACCAGTATTTATTGTCTGACCATCCTTTTGATTATTTTTTTTGTTTGAGGATAGTGTTAATATAATTTGAAATTACAAATCTGTTATATCATTTTATTAGTGCATAAAAGTGAAGCGAGTAATTAAATATGCTTAAATTAGGTACAGGCATCTTTAAGTGGAGCAGCTACAATATATGTAAACTTGAACTAAAAGTGTAAAGCGGTAACACTAATATAATGAGCAAGATTTAAATTTGGTTTCATATGAACATCACATAAGAAATGAAAAAAAAAGATTAAAACATTTACGCGTATTTGTCAGTTATTTTACCTAAAATGCATCAGCGTATTTGTACTGGCAACACTGAAATCGACCGGATGGCAGAGCGACGGAATTACTCTGACGCGGGGAGAGGGGCGCGCGCCGCTGTCAAATCGAATTATTCCTTGAGTTACGATTCGCTTTTATTTAAATGGAAAAGCATTTTCCTGACTTAATTATCTCGTAATTTAGCAAATTAGCGACGGTTTAATGATTTGCTCGCACGAAAATGTCGTATAGAAGGCGATGGTACTCAGTAGGACTCGATACGCCGCGGTGGATTTCGATTGCTATTTTTGTTTTGTAGCCCAGTTCCACGGTAAATATTGTTTTTAGTGACGAAACGCGTCGGTGCAGTCGTTTATTTTTTCTTCTCTTCTCGTGCCCGGTGCAATTTTTGGTCCGTGAAGCGGTTGCGATTTTTACAGTGTTCTCTGTTGCAAAAAGATTTCGACATAGCTTTTTTTGATCTTACATTCCGTGCCAAAGCGACCACAAAAACAGTTCCCCTGTCTGAAAAGCAGTGCCAAATGCGTTTTTGTGTATTTAAATAATAAAGTATAAATTCAATCATATGTAAAATGTAAAAGAAATAAGGACATTAGGTCTAAAAGCTGTGGAGTGTGGAATCGAGGAACTAAATGGCAGTTTTGAGGAGAAAATCTTGGACATTTAGCGTGTGGCAGTGATGCGGCGGGTATTTGGAGTGTGCTCCGATGGTTGGGTACTCTGCGGACAGAATGTGAGCCGCCAAATGTAGCTGGCTGTATAGATGTTGTCTGTATGTTTGTTTCTTTCACGTTTTTATTTTTAATTTAATTTCTAACATCTCATAACATGTCTACTAATCCATAATGCTACACTAACAAATTTTTTCATACTTAAGTTTGATCAGCGATTGACATAAATTTTGCACTGGATTTTGATTTTGTCTTATCATTAAATCATTTTTTTATAACTAATTAAATTCATAATAAGTGTTTAGTCTAAAAAATAGTTAGGCAGTGTTACAGTGTATGATTTGTTAACAAAATAATTGTGGTTTAAATACCAAGATGTGTGAAATGCTGTAGAAATTGCTGCAACAATATACACTAAAATGAGTAATAAAACAAGGCAGATGAAGGCAGCCCCTGGAGCTGCTACATGCAGTCCAAATCTGTTACCGTAAGGTCAAAGGAACTGGCAACATAGCTTTCAACCATGAATATGCATTTTTAAACTCCCCCTCTAAAATTCCCAATAGGACAGACACACTATGGTTGATAATTTCCTGAAAATTTACCCTTTATGTTTGTCATGCTAAAATTATCTATTAGTCATTATACCATAATTAATTTCCTAGCTTTCAATTCTTTGATGAATTAATGAATCATAGAAGAATCCTTTTCAATACAATACTAGTCCATTTTCTATACAAAACTTGTCTGAATATAAACAAATGTTTGTAAGATGGCATTTATAAGAGTCATATATCACTTGAAATTGTTTCTTATAATTTTATTATGTAATCTTGGTAAAAATTACCGGTAGGAATTATGAGACATAACAACCTAAATAACTCCTATTTAGCCATAAGTTAAAGAACAGTACTATGTAGATTAAAACAGGATATTCATATTATCAGCACAACCGATGAAATAATATAACTACACAGAAGACAGTTGTGAGTGGAACCAAGATAGATAAAAAATGGAAGTGGAATTCTGCATTTTGTCTGATCAGCGTGCATGCCGGAGGCTTAATGTTAGTTCTTTTTGCCTACTAATCCATTTTTCATAAAGAAAAAATGGGAAAGATGGTGGATTTAACAGGGGAAGGGAAAATATTCTTGATTAACGATAGGAAGAATATCGCTATATTGCTATTGTGGATTCATGTGGCCTCTTGCTTGTTACGAAAAAAAGGCATTAACAGACAGACAATAAAGTGATCACATAAGGGTGTCATTTTCTTTCTTCCAAGTTACGGAACCCTAAGAACAATGGAATATATTAAGAGATAACATAATTTTAGGTTTTAAAATGTGAATTACAAATATCTAATAAGTTTATACCATTTTTTATTAGACAGGAATTAATTTATCTATGGTTTTAGTCAAAACATTTTCTCTGAATTATTTATGCCATATAATACATAAGTTACATTGTTATTAACAATTGCATGTTTCTTCACAATGTTATGTACAAATAGTGCATGTAGTGTTTTGTCATGTGTCTGTATGTTGAAAAGTATTGTTTGGTTTTACATTTGAAAAGTTCTCATCAAAGTTTATATGTATTATTTTGTAATTTTAAATTAAATTAACAAACTAATATTGTAACTAAATTTGTGTTTTTTCCTTAATTTTGATTTGAATTATTTTTTTCCGGGCTTATGTTTTTTTTACAATTCAATGTTGTACTGGCCAGTGAAATTTAAGCTTAATGCTGCTTAAAATATTGAAACACGGCATCTCGTTCACTTGAACGCATTAAAAAACTACGAAATTTATTATTTCAACAAACATCAGAGGCTCTCCAAAATAGAGCAGTAAACATTACATTACATGTGATACGGATGTAGTATAGTGCATTTCAAATATCGTGCACGTCAATGACCTCGATCTGTCAAAAATCATTAGAAAAATACAGAATATAATTAAATTGTTTTGGGTAGGTACTTATGACCTTATAGGCTTAGGATATAATTTAGTATTATTTAAAATTAATATGTCATTATTTCTTTATCCTTATTCCGTAAGTTCATTTGACAGCTATGGCGGTTGCAAAATGGCGCGGATTTTTGGACATTGTTATTTGAAACGCATCGTACGTAGTTACAAGAATTAGGAAAAGTTTTTTACGTCCCGGCATAAATCTAAGTAAATGGGTTAACGCTATCTATGAAATGGGTGCGTTTGATATAGATCGTAAAACGCACCGACGGAGAAATTTATCGTAGGACGTAACTTGATATCCTGTTATGTCTTACGAACTACGTAAATATAATTTTATGACGTCATTTAGAAAGAATGTTTTACATGTGTTACTATACACATATATTATGTCTAAGTTATTAATAACATTAATTCGATATGTGATGGTCCTTTCGTGTGGCTTATAAATGGAATTGTAAACGAATACCTTAAGGTTAACAGTGGTAGAGCCCGCTTTAACATCTTCGCACGATTTGGCCGGGCTCGCCCGGTGAAATACCACAACCACACAGAAGACAGGTGTGAAGTGGAAGCAATTCCGCGTTTCATCTGATGAGTGTGCGTCCCGGAGGCCTAACTTAGTCTTTTTTCCCTTCCCACACTTTTCCTTATAAAGAAAGGATGGGAAGTGGACTTTCCGGGTGAGAGGATGCATGAAAGGAATATTATCTTTGTGTATATTTTCTTTCTGTGCATCCTCTCCGTCGATTAAAGGTAGGCAACGCATATGCAATTGGGCATATAAATGGGCAAGGGTCACTTCGCTATATCAGCGATTTCAGGTGGCCGCTCGCTCGTTTGCCACCTTGTGATATAAAACAAAAACGTTCCAACGGTTAGCCACCAATGGGGTTTTAGTTAGTAAGAATCTCATAACCCTGTCTTTTCCCAAAAAGACAGGGTATCTTACGAAGATCCCCTCCACCCCCCATAGAAAAAAAAAGTCGAAACTGTGACGTCATCTATTTAAGACTCGTGTTATACACAAGTAATACGCATAATAGGCAAATAAAAATTGCATTAATAATTTCGTGGTGCCATCTTAAATACAGTACAAACTTGTATATCTATGGGAATGCATTTATTACATAACTAGCTGTCGCCCGTGACTCCGTCCGCGCGGAATTAAAAAAAAAGATAATTAGTAGCCTTTGTGATTTTCCAGAATATGTTCTATATGTATGCCACATTTCGTTGTGATCCGTTCAGCAGTTCTGGAGATACTTTCAAATAAACATCTAAACTTTCGCATTTATAATATTAGTAACTATGGCAATCCTGCCAGTTACTCTCTATTTAAAACTGCTGATTTAATCACTAAAAAGGTTTGACATGATGAAGTTAACGTAATTAAACTATAAAGTGGTAAAACAAATGAATGGCGACTACTGTTTAGGAATAGTGAATGCACCGATCGAAGTGGTCCTCGTGGAAAAAAGAAATGGGGCTCGTTAGTGGTGTGCACTTGACGGCTCTTATGTTCGCCGGCACACGCCTGTTAGGACCACATCAAGTGGTCTTTGTTCCAAGTTAGGGATTTTAATTACAAATTATTATAAGATACAGAGTTTATTAAATTGTAAGAGACAAAAGGTTGGACCCATGGATTGAAATGTACGGCCCAAAGGATCTGAAGATTCTAGAAAAATTGCGTTTAACAAATAGACTTTTTATTCGTTCCTACATATGGTTGGACACTTAAATTATCAAATAAACTCTAATATGTTTCATGATTATGTTGAAATGCCTATCAATCAACAAATTTTGGGTTTAAACAAAAAAAAACCCGTATCTCTAATTAAGAAATTGTACAAAACATTGCACAATTTTTGTATTTATTATGATGTGTTACTTTATTTTTGACTGTATAATGTACTTGTGAAGATACGGATTTATTTAATTGATAATAATATGTTTTGTTGTCAGGGCTCGCCGCACGGGTCGGTGATGTCGTGCCAGTCGCTGGCGGCGCGCGCCTTCGCCGAGCCCGACAAGGACCCCGCGCAGTGCGGCGCCTTCCATAGGTATTTTGGATACGTAACATAAAAAATCTAACCTTACAAACATATGAACCTAAGGACCGGACGTATAGTTGATTTTTGATTTAGCTTTGAACAGAAGTTCGCTAATAACTCTATGTATATCATTGCGTAGTACGCATAGTATTTGATAGTGATTTTTGACAAATAAATTTAATATTCTATCTTTTATCTACAGATCAGTACGCTTCAGTTCAGAGTCTCGTAGCTCGACCCGCGTCTCCAATGATACGGACAAGCGGGATACATCTGGTTAGTATCACTCTATCACTGAAGGTTTACTTTTTTACCTGTAACTTTTAGCTTAATCACGTTTGCGATAGGCGGCATGTCGGTGTCGGCGCTGGGCGTGTCGCCGTTGCCGGCCGCCATCGCCATGAGCCAGTCCGCACCACCGCCTTCCATCTCCTTCGATCTTCACGATGAGGTTAGTTTATTTGTTTATGAGTGATGAAGCTGCATTCAAAGTCCTTTTTTATATTATAGCTTGGTAAATAAGCAAGTGGCCAACTGAATTAGCCAAAATGGTGTACCGCTGACCATAGACATCCACAATTGCAGATACGTAGCTTACCATCAATCGACAGAGTAAGAGATACAGAGAATAACGAATATTTCTCTTTTTCGTGTACACATAAAATCGATTCCCCCTTCCCCATCCTTTCCTAATAAGAAAAGGATGGAAAGGGATAGAGGATTAAAATTAGGATTCGCCGAATGACGCATGTCTTCTGTGTGGAACTGAAGTGTAATGTTGTCTGTGTACAGAGTCCACCGCCAGTACCGTCATGCCGGTTCCCCAAGCTTGAGGAATGCGCCCACTTCCACTACGAGCGCGTGTCGCTGGGCGGCCTCAGCATACAGACCGTGCCATGCGAGGAACAGTGCGAGGACAACGACCCAAGCGAGGGTAATATCAAATGTTTCACTGTTTTATGATTATATCTACTATCTAAAGAACATGTATTTCATATTAAAAGTTTGCCTATGATTAGGAGCTACGAAACAGTCAATTTTTTATCGTGAGGGTGAAAAATTTAATTTATCCGACTCGAAGGACCAAATAGAAAACATTTCTTAAAGGCATTATTTCGACTAAACAAAATTAATATTAAGCATATACAATGTATTGTGATTGTTACAGGCTGGATATGTCTCCGTGTGCGCTCCCATGTGAGCGGCGGCGAGCAGGAGAGCGCGGTGGTTGCGGGGAGTGCGGCAGGTAGTGCGGGGGGTGCGGGGGAGGCGCACAGCTGGAGTGAGCCCGCCGGCCTCAGCGAGTGGACCCTCACCCGCAGCAGAGACAACTTCTTGCAGCTGGACGACATGCTGCACAGGTACACTGCACAGAGAGGAAACATCCTAGTCCGACTGTAGCCAGTCCGACTATTTTGCCAGTTTTAAAATATTTTCTAAAAGAACTAACTTCAATAACAGAGTTTCTCATTGGGCCAAATTAGATTGTCGCATTATAACTAGAAAAGGGTTGACAGTCTGAAAAATGACACAAAGACATTGTTTTGTCTCCCAGATGCATATACGACCGCAAGGTATCAGGGCTGCCGAACCTGTCGGAGGAGGTGGGCGCTGAGTGTGAGGAGACGCGTTACCAGCAGCTGATCGGTGACTACGTGCATCACTTGTCCATCATCGCAGACGACTCTATCAACTGTGGACCTGTGCTCAACTGGCTTCAGATGGATAACAAAGGTCAATTGCATTATGTACTGTTAAGAGGAAAATCCGACAGTGTGCCGGTGTACTGGCGCAATACTAGCCTTACTAAAATGTCGACGTCTATGTCCCCTCACTAATCAATCCTGACATTTGACTTTGCAATATAAGCGCGCCATTCGCGCCATCTGTCGTCATCGGATTATAATTAATAAATGTCTAAAAGTACTATGTGTAAACAATATTTGATGTTACACTAATATTAAAAATGCGAATGTTTGGATGTTTGTTACAAAGTATATCCAGAACTGTTGCATGGATCCCGCCGAAACTTGGCATGTATGTAGACATAGTCTGAAAGAACCCATAGGCTATTAAGTTAATTTAAATTGTACGGACAGAGTCGCGGGTGTCAGCTAGTAATAAATAATTTTACATGTCCAGGGCACAAGTTACTGGTTGCCAATGAAGATTCCAGCTCTATCAACACGCCGGCAGTCGCCGCTGCTTACTCTGTGAGGAAATATGTCTCACAGGTAAATAATCTGTAGAGGAATAATTTGATTGTTTCTTTTTAGTTTTAATTGCTTAATACTGTATTACATTTGTATTGTTTATTTCTGTTTGCAGGCTCGGGATGAGATCAGCTTTGAAGTGGGCGATATGATATCCATTATTGACATGCCCGGTAAGACTGATTCCATGTTTTCTCTATTGTCAAATATTGTCAGTAACTGGCAATATTTTTAAACATTTCTTGTCAATAAAATCATAATTTTTAGCCAAAAATTCCGCTTGTTTATCAATCATAGGAACATAAAATGTTTTATAACAACTTTTAACGATTAAAATAACAATTTTAGTGTTTTTTTTTAAACTGTTTTGATAAATGTTCAAGAATCTATCCTTATATTAATAATTGAAAATGTTAAGAATGAATTATATTAGATGACTAGCATAGTGTAGTGTAGAGGTGTTGCGTGCGTGACATGTTGTAGTATTGCAGCAGAGGTGTTGGTGTTGTCAGGGCCGCAGGAGTCAGTGTGGTGGCGCGGCAAGCGCGGCTTCCGGGTCGGCTTCTTCCCCCGACACTGCGTCGCCGTCATCGGGGACAAGGTGCCCCGACACATGACGCAGCCGCCGCCTATTGTAGGGTATGACTTACTTTTAACTGATGCTCCTTCCGAGTCGGATAATGTGAAAACTAAAAATACTAAAAAGTGTATCGAAACTCAATGCATGTTGTAACGTTTTATAAATAATGTTATACTACCTGTTGCCAGTGACTCCGTCTGTGCTAAACAAAAAACAACGTAATCAGTTGCTTGTTTGTTCTTCCAGACTATGTTCTACATCTATGCCAAATTTCAGTTAGATCCGTTCAGCTGTTTTGCAGATACCTTTTAACAAACATTTATCCATCCATACATCTAAACATTGCCATTATATTTTATTAGTAAGAATTTAGGCGATTAAAGTATGAAATGATATATTTTATTTAGCAATAAATTTAATAAACATTGTAGATCAGTGGCGATGGCGCCGATAAAGCCGGTGTTGCGCAAGCACGGCAAGCTGATCTCGCTGTTCCGCAGCTTCATCCTGTCGCGTCCGTCGCGGCGCAGCCTCAAGCAGCAGGGCATCCTCAAGGAGCGCGTCTTCGGCTGCGACCTCGGAGAGCATCTGCTCAACTGCGGACATGATGGTGAACATTGATATGTGAAAACTAACAATTTATACACAAAAAGAAATATTTCTACCCATTTAAATCTAGAATTGGTATATTGAATTTAAAATAATATAATATTCTGTATTTTATAGCATTAAGTTACAGTGCAAAGAATAAGTAAATGTCTTCAGCAAATATCTTTAGTTAAATTATGGATATTTCGCATAAGATGTATGGTAATTGCCTTAAGACGTTCGATGTGCATATTTTTTATAATTGTAAAGACAGTCAAGTTTTTTTTTAAATAGAATAATTGTATCTGTTAGTACCACAAGTGCTGGCGGAGTGCGCACGTGCAATAGAACGTCGCGGCGCAGTGGACGGCATCTACCGGCTGTCAGGTGGCGCCGCCCTCACACAGCGACTGCGCGCCGCCTTCGATGCGGCGGGGGACACGCCCCCCGACCTCGCCCCGCCCCTGCAGCGTGACCCGCACGCCCTCGCCAGCCTCCTCAAGATGTACTTCCGGTATGAACATACAACTAGTTAGATAGAAACATAAAATATGTAGTTAATAGTTGTTCAAAATGATAAATCTTAAGTCACAAAAAAATTGTATTGCTTGAAAACAAAAGGTTCTCGTATCGATAATGGTATCGCTTTTACGGAAATTATAGTTTAACTAGCTGTCGGTCGAGACCTCGTCCGCGCGGATTAAAAAAACTTAAATAGTAGCCTATGTAATCTTCTAGACTATGTTCTATATCTATGTCAAATTTCAGCAAGATCCAATGCAGCCGTTCTGGAGATACCTTTTAACAAACATGCAACTAAACATTCGCATTTATAATATTAGATATACGATATTCCAAATCAAGACATAAGTTATGTTAATTAATTACTTTGTATACCAACATAAATGTTTATCGTGTAGTAATGAGGCATGTAACATTACAGCGAGCTGCCCAACCCGCTGTGCACATACCAGCTGTACGAGAGCTTTGTGAGCGCGGTGCAGCAGCCCGACGAGGCGGCCAGGCTGCGCGCCATGCGGGACACCGTCGTCAAACTGCCCCCGCCGCATTACAGGTCTCTTATACTTTGTTACACATATACCAACCTGCTACTTTGACAAAGAAATCATCCCAGAAAGAAATTAGTTCTTGATAATGAAGTATTAAAGTTCTTATCTCTGTTATTATCTTTGACAAAACAGAGATGACAATAAGTTTTAAACGGGAATTTTGGTCTCGGAAACCCACGGTTACTCATTTCTGATCATTAAGTCCAGGCGACTTGGATTTTTATAGTTTTAATTTTTGTTATTTTTAATGTATGTAGAACGCTATCTTACCTGATGCGTCACTTGCGGCGCGTGTCTCTGCTGAGCGCGGCGACAGGCATGACAGCGCGCAACATGGCCATCGTGTGGGCGCCCAACCTGCTGCGCTCGCCCGCGCCACAGCACGCCCTGCAAGGCGTCGCCGTACAGGTAACTACACATAAGAATCCCACATAGGTACACGCATGGGCTAGGGCTGAATTCTTAGACATTTTGTTTTTTTTTTACATTTTTCAATTATCCAGGGGGCGTGGCTATACCCCCTGGCAACGCCCACGAGTACACGCACGCCATACACTTTGTTTTTTACAATGGAAATATATGCACAGGCCGTGGTAACGGAGTTTCTGATCTGCTACGCCGAGGATCTGTTCGCGCAAGACCAAGGATCTGACTCCGGACCCGATTCCTTAGAACAGGTATTTGGAATTATTATTTGTCACCACTAAACTTGTCATATACAAAAAATAATCATTTACAAATCTTTTCTTAAATGAAATTTAGGATCGTTGCGAGTCGCAAGTTGAGCTTCGTGGCACTGAATCCTGCCGTAGACCGAAGAGCCTGCCTCTAAACCCGCCCACAAAGCTGCTGAGCCTAGAGGAGGCGCGGCGGCGTGGTCTAGGTGCCGGCGCGGGGCCTATAGCTCCGCCCGCCTCAGGCGCCATCGCCGCCGCGGCTGCTGCGCCTGTAGCCTCGCCCGCACAGGACCGCCAGCTGCGCCCCGCGGGACATCTCAAGCCTAAGTACATTGAGGTATGCTGTGATCCGACTCGAAGGATCATTACTATCTTAATCGTATCTGCTACTTTAAATAAAATACAAAAAGATCATAGACGTAAAGTATTAGATTCTTGAAGATTTCTTATTTGTCTCAGGTCGGTTCGGGTCCAAATAATCTTCCTCAGTACCACACTGTTTTGGATCTTCCATTGTCAGGTATGTTTATCACAAAATTGAAACATTTGCATATTAATCTAATATTATTTTTCTATTGTAGTCCTTGTAACAATGTATTAACATTGCAGGTGGTAAACGTGGTCTAAAGCGATCTCCATCGGGTTGGCGCGGCCTGTTCTGGCGCAGCAAGCTGCAGCGTGCGCGTGCGCCACCCCAAGGCCCACCCCCTGCGCCGCTACCGCCCCCTACACAGCAGGTAACCTAGAAAAGTTAGCTGTTACATTCATTCATTTAAAACTAATCCATTCAGTCATTTGTTCAATGTGTTTTGTGTGTCAGGTATCAGTGGACGTGGTGATGTCAGGCAGCTTGCGGCCAGTGAAGTCGTGCGAGTCGTTAGCCTCGGACACAGACACTCTGCCCCCGCTCGCGGACCGTGCCAGCGCCCCGCTCAAGCATCACACTAGGTATATTGTATACTGATGCTAATTTAATTGTTCTTATATACTAACTAGCTGTTGCTCGTGACTCCTCCTCCTCCTTCTTCCAGACTGTGTTCTACATCTATAACAAATTTCAACAAGGTCTGTTCAGCCGTTTTGGAAATACGTAATAAAAATCATATATCCATCCAAATATTCGCATTTATAATATTAGTAAGATTGTTAACGTTTCGAACTGTGGTATAATACCCGGCGTTTGAGTTGTCACGTCAAACTGTAGTTTTGTTTTGTTACCGGCGGGCCAAGTACAATACGTGTTGTGTGCAGGTCATCATCGTGCGACTCTTACTTCGAGCCGTGGCAGGCGGAGCTGGCGCACATGCGACTGCGCCTCTCCCCGCAGGAGCGAGACAGGCACATGTTCAGTGAGGAGGACGACACGCACCACCACCAACACAACGCACAGGTATACACACCTACACGTACACATGCATACAACGCGCACGTACGTACACGCACACGAACGTACACGCACATATAACGTACATGAACTATCAGGGAATTTGTACGTATTCCACCTTCGAAACGATAGTCGTTTGACAAATCATTGCCATCTATTGCATTATTTTGGAAAACGCGACGGAGTTTGACCATTTTCAAGTAAAAATGCAATTTTTCTGGAAGAGAGACTTAAATTCGAAACAATAAGGAAGGGTATGGAACTCTATTTCAATGCAGCGACTATACAAGTAGATGAAACGACTGGTGCTAATTATAAATAGGGTATTATTTAGTATTTTGTTGTGTACAGGAGTCAGCGTGGTCGACACCAGCGGACTCAGTGCCGTGCAGCGCGGCCGCCAGCCCGCGTCGCTCACTGCGCGTTGATGTACACGCCGCCAATGACATGGCTGAGAGGTAAACTACACTAGCTGTCGCCGCCGATTTCATCCACGCGGAATTTAAAAAGATAAACTTAATTAGAAGCCTATGTGTTCTTCCAGACTATGTTCTATATGTATGCCAAATTTTAACAAAATCCATGCAGCCGTTCTGGAGAAACTATTTAACAAATATCCATACATCCAAACATTCGAATTTACAATATTAGTAAGATTAGTATTATATTATTATTACCATTAGAAATAACCTACTATTACTAAATATTGTCCTCCCTTTCATTGTCTTTGATAAAACAAAGACAGCAATAACTGAAAATCAACGGTTATAACTAATTTATTAGTTGTCTATGTTCTTTTCTAAGAGAATGGTAGAGATGACAATACAAATGCTTGGACAATATTCAATATTGATGTTCATGTTGCAGACGTCGTGCGGCAATGGAGGAGCAGGTCGCACAGATGGGATACATTGATGGGGAGTCCCCGCGTGCTAAACCTGCACCAGAGAAGCGACATGGCACCGCAGATCCTGATCCTGCCAAGAGGTACCACCTCCCCCGTACTACACACCAATTCCACACTGGTATAGTAGTTTTCATATATCTTGGCGGCTCTAGTGTGAGTCGCTGTGTCAAACACACTGTTAGGTATAGCGAAAGAATAAAGCGCAGACTATGACCTTGGACCGCCAAAATATTTGAAAACAACTATACCATTACACACTACTAAATGTATTTCGTTTCATTACAAAATATTTTCATCTATAGACAAAAATTCGTAACTTTAAACTTTTTTTTTTAATCAAATTATACATTTAACTTTATATCATAACTAGCTGTTGATAGTGACTCCGTCCGCGTGGTATTAAAAAAAAACTTTAAAAGTAATTTAAATGTTCTTAGATACTATTTTCCACATATGCCAAATTTCATCAAGATCCGTTGAGCTTTAGGAGATACAAGCACACATCCATCCATCTAAACATTTACATTTAAAATATTAGTAAGATTTTTACAAACAAATAATTAGTGAAGAAGTCATAAAATCAAAGTATACCATAGATTGTTCATAAATAATTCCATGTTCCACAGAATTTGTAAAGACAGAGACAGTCCGCTGTCATCTCAGCCTGACTTCCAGTCTCCGGGCAGTGTGAAGCTCAGGTATGTTTATATCTTTCTAGTTATATATTTATAACAATTCTATGCATTTCTCTCTCACATCTTTACATTAAAAACCATTACATAGATAAACCATTTTAATTTTATTTATCCCGAATGTATTATGGTCTTAAAATCTGCTAGATAGTCTAGATTTATATTTAGATTTTTGTTTTTGTTTTAGGATTATTTATAAATTGTTAAGTATTTTTATTAAATACAAATAAATACAATTTGGTATAAATAATTTAATATAACTGCTTTTGTTATAGAAATAAAGCTTTTATCCCAATATGGAGATGCTCAAATGATAAAAAATATCGAATGGAAAAAATTTAAAAAAAAATTGGGTATATTATTTATTTTGATACTAAATTATAGTATTTTGTATGTTTTTCTTCAAGTAAAACTAATTGGCTTTGTTTAACATTTATCATTCGATGGCCTCACATTTTCCGACTCAAATATTTTGTTTACTATTCAGAAGTTTCATACTAATATTTGTTTTTTTTTTCTGTTCGAGAGCATGCTCGTTTGAAAGTACCATATAAATGTTGAAGCATTTCTATTAGCGTACCTGCCGACCCTGAAACCTAACATGACGCTTGCAGAGAACGCAACTCGCCGCGGAAATGTAAGGCCGCCTCCAGGTACAGCGGCCTGCACCATCCCGTCCTCGCCGACCCTGACTCCTCCCGCCTCACCTGGCACGGCAAAGACGGACATTCCACACTCATTAAGATCGACTGGCCTCTGGAGAACTCCCACAGCAATCTCACCACCAGCACGATCAACTCTAGTCCTCTCACGCCTGTCACACCGCTCTACGACCCGCTGGAGAGCGACTCCGAACTCAGCGACAAACATACCATACAAATTAAATCTGTGGACTGTGACAGTTGCGACCGCGAGAAGTGTCTCAAGTGTGAACTGAAGGCCACTGACTACGAGAACATGCGCCTCACTCACCAGTCTGAGGGCATCCAGCCCAGCCCCGCCCACTCCGCGCACTCCCCGCACTCCCCGCACTCCCTGCACTCCGCAGACATCAGCTACCACAACCTCAATAGACTATCCGGCCTCTCCGCCTCCTCAAACTCCGACCACACCGACAGGAGGCGAGACCATGATGCTCTCAAGGTCATGACCTCATCACACGATAGCTCCTCCAGCTACTCAAACGCCAGCCTGCCTCGCCAGACCGACGACCTGTATGAATGCTTCAACTTCTCCCGTCCCAACTACATCAATCTCCAATCCTCCAGCACCTCGAAAAGCTCCCCCGGCTCACCTCTCAAGAGTCCCCTCAAATCCACTATAAGCATCACATTCCGCTCTCCAACAAAGTCAAAGGCGTCGGACTATGAACCCATTGACAACATAGACACACCAACAAATGACAGGGATTCAGTGTACGAGGACATAGACTTGGAGAAGAACCTGTCTATAGTGGAGGAGGCACCGGTGCCCGAGACTGACGCCAGTTTACCCACGCAGCAGGCCTGCCAGCCCGACTGCAGCGAGGATCTCATCATCCTGGAGACACCCACTGACAATACAAAAATCGACGATAACGTCGACGTCTACAGTCAGGTCAAGTTCTTCAGGAAGAGTATAGAAGAAGTCAACGCGATGATCCTCGAGTCTCCAGAAAAGGATACTGATAAAATTGTTAAGGAAGCCAATGCTGTGATGATGGAGACTCCAGAAACACAAAGGCATTACGAAAATGTGTTTATAGAATCGAGGGATAGAGAATATGAAAATATAAATGTGGATACTCTCAAAATCTGTGATAAAGTAGATATAAGCGAAGTCAACGAACATAAATCTGAACACGAACAAAATACTTTAGAATCGGACAACGGCAATGTCATTAAACAGAAAACTATGTCAAAGAATCTCAACGTACGAGAGTTAGCCATACGTTTCGAAAGTCCCACTGAACAAAAAGGACCATTTACTTTTGATAAATTTAAAACTGAAATCAAATATCCGAGCTTGGAACGTAAAGATGATGAAAAATGCGAAACAAGAAAGAAAGAGGTCACAGTGAAATTGCCACCTCCAGTATCACCAAAAACGTACAAATTGTCTAAGAATTCAGCGCGTTCGTTGGACGAGAACGCATTTATAAAGGAATTCGGAAACGAAACGAACGATAGAAGGAAGAGTTTGGAAGTAAAAGAGGCGAGCAAACAGACAAACAATCTTCCAGATTTGAACCTCAATACGGAGGAATCTGAGACAAAACCCGCAAGTATAACTCCGACTACGGAAAACAAGATATCAATAGTGCAAAGATTTGAATTAAAAAAGCCCGATTTAAAGAATCTCATTGGGATTGAAACGGAAAAGAAATTAAGTCGCGAAAGGATAGAAAAATACAAAGAGGAACGTAGAAACTTTTTACGTGAGAAATATAGTTCACAATCATTCAGAAGTAATCCGGAACAATTGACACGGATCAAAATAAAAAAAGATCCAGAAGAAAGAACGGAGATGTGCGAAAGATTGCAGGATGATTTGCCAAAATTTGAACGTAGAAATACTGTTGATTTGGGTCAAAGAATGAGATTTTCCTTAGCAAAGAGTAGTAATAATTTGGACACCATACAATCACCTGAAAGTCCACTAAGAGATCTGGATACTACGTTAGAATTTTCTAGAAAAGAAGATATTAAAAGAGATCGTCGAGAAGAAAGGTACGTTTCTTTTTATGTGTTTGTCTGTCACTATTACCTTTTTTTTTACTTTTATCTGTAAAATCTTGTATGTGTGGTAAACGTACAAACTAATTTGTGTGTTTGAATAACAAATCATCATAGATGCATCCTGCAACTTTTTTTATAATAATTTCTCAAATTTTAATTACAACTTTTAATAGTCCCCCTTAGTTATCATTTATCCATCGTAATTATTTGTATTTTACAATTAAAATTAGTTTTAAATAGATTTGACATTTTATATAGATTCAGAAGTGCTTAAAAGAAATTAGGCAATAAAATTATAGAGTATTAAATACAGAATTTCTATTCAAACTATTCATATAGTATAAATAATAATTAATATAAAATATTTCCAGGAAAGAGAAAATGTCACCATCATTCAACATACGAGACATGGCCGCGCTGTTCGAACAGAAGACACATAATAACGGTTGACACAAATGTACAGCACATATCGTGTTCACAACACATTTGAAACACACGTAGCTAGAAATATCTAAAAAATACGTGTTTAGTCTTCAAGGTCACCAAAATATTGTCATCTCTCTTACTCTCTATGTAAAAAACAGAGATAGCAAGAATGTGACGTCATTTATTATGGTGGGCCTAGTTCACGCTCTCAAATATTAAAAAAAACTGTTTCACATCTTCAAGGTCACCACAATATTGTCATCTCTCTTACTCTCTATGTAAAAAAACAGAGATAGCAACAGTGTGACGTCATTTGTGCAGGTAGGATTAGTTCACGCTCTTCTATAACTAAAAAAAACGTATTTGAAGTATTCAAGGTCACCACAATAGTCTCATCTCTTTCACACTCTTTAAAAAAACAGAGAAAGCAACAGTGTGACGTCATTTGTACTACGAGTTTACTATTGGGACCATATATTTACAGGTTTCAAAATTATCTCGATTTTGCATATAAACATATTGCCATATGTTAAGTAACCCTCAGGGTGTATTTTGATATTTCTAGCTACGTATACTCTAAAGTGATAATAATTGTGCTTGAAATAATTTAAGCTTGTTGAAACAATTGATGCTTCAGGACTATATAGTCAGATAAAATTATTTGGCCCGGTGAGGTTTCGCAATTAGATATGTGAAAATTGTTTAAGTAAAAAATTACATAGGACAGACGTGACATGACAGTGTGGTCGGATAAAGACAAGGATCTATTGTAATTTAGTGTCACCTGAGTCCACCGGGTCAGATAAATTTGTTGGACTAAATGTTTATTCCATATTGTAAAGGATTTTGGTAAGCGATCTATGTTTGAATATTCGACTTTATTGCCTCTGCTTTTAAGCGCAAAATTGATTATAAAAATATATAAAGCATGTTTGTGACTAATTAATACGGTGTCTTCCACAAAATTGTGGCGATAAAAACCTTTTTTTGATTATTAAATATAAGCATAATATTGTGTAATCAATTTTCTCTTGTTAATATTAGAATTCAAAAGCCTTAATAGCTAAATTTATCGTGTTCAAATATTTAGTTAAAGCAACTGCGTAAATATATAATCTATAGAACAAAAGTAAAGCGAAAAAAAAACATCCGAGTTTTTTTTAGGGTAAATTAAATTAGTGTTGCCATTTATAATATTTAAAATGATATTTAGAAAATCCACTTTCGAGTTGACGTCAAAATGATATTAAATATAGATTATATATATAGGTAACGGCTTTTAGATACTTGTTATATAGATTGTAATTATTTTATATTGTTAATGAATGTAAGCGTAGATTTCCATTGCAGTTACAATTTTAATACTACGGTTACACGGGCCTAAAGATCTAGAATATTCTAGAAATTACGACCGTTTGGCAGAACCTTTATATATGGATAGGCTATAAGGCGTTGTATTCTGTGCCTATTTGAACTTCGCCATTGGCGCTGATGGTTGTGGTTAGCGGTGGCGAGATTTCAAACTATTATAATAGAGATTGAATAAACTGCCAGGAACTTTAGATGTGTTCAAATTTGGAACGAAATAAAAGCTGTCATTTTCAAGTAATAACCTATCCATTTATAGAGATGAATGTTGGTGGCTGATTTTTTTTTATAAACATGTCTGATTTGCGATATGAAGTAACAATGTAAATAGTAAATATTTGCATATAACAATTAGTTTAGGTAAAATATAGTTCGTTCACAATCCTTTTGTAAATACTATAAGCTTGTCGACATTTTTTTGAAATTAAAAGCTTCGCAACACGATTAAGTATTCATTTTAAAATTTTAATACATTGAATTTTTTTTTAAATTTTAGATATATTTGTTTGTTTTTTTTTATTATTAAACGCTTTGAGCACAATAATTTGATTAATCTTTATAAGAAATTTCTAGATCTTATAAGTTGAGGTTAAATATAAATTTTTGCTACATTAAATTGACACTAAGGGCTTCTCTTAGTGTAGTTTAATGATTTATTTACACATGTCTTGAGTAATCATTTGATTTTGTCGACAAGCGATTAATTTTGGTTGTCAAATATGAGTTGTTATTTTTAATTATTTATTATATTAGTTTTCTATCAATAATTAATCTCTCATTAAACAACACTTGTATTATTTTTATTTGCTTGTTTTGTTGACTGTACCTATTTTGTTATGAATCTCTTCTTATATAGATTTATAATTTGGTCGACGGAAATAAATACAATGCAAAATTAAATAAAAAAATCTATTTTCCCCGAATTGTTTAGATTGTAAACAAAACAAAACTAGAAATGTTTGAAAGTTAGACAAAAAATGTAATTTGTAAATTCTTTCTCAACTTTTAGCTTTTGTCACATGGTTATTGTAAATTCTTTGACGATTTCCTTTCTCTATCTAGATTAGATTGATAAAACTACTATTCGACCACGTTAACATGATATCAAAGCTTAATTACGTCACTTGTACTATATACAAAGAACTAGACAAATCAGCTTTCAATCATTTGTCAACAACGTTACGTCTTAATTCCCTAAACATAAAAATCCACTTACCGTTGGTTTCCGAGACCAAAATCCCCGTTTAAAATATTATCTCTGTTTCATCAAAGATAAAAGACAGGGAGGACGATATGTTTATACAGAGATTTGGTGTCGAAAACCCACAGTCAATTGTCAAATGTATTGCCATATGTAAAGTTAATATGCATTTATTTTTGTAAGCGATATTTAAATGTGCTGTAATTTTCATACGAGTTCTAATGATTCGATATGCATTTAATATGTGTTAAATTGCATTTCTTATTGCATTTGTTGAACCACGAGTTTCCATTGTGGAAACATTTACAAGAACATGGTGATTCCAGATAACGAATCATTGGACACGTCAGATTTATTGTCGCAATATCCAATTGTCTTTAATAAAGACAATAATATTTGTATTTACATTTCGTATGTTTTTTTTTTGTTAAACTAGAACTTTCTATATTCTGAAAAACAACGACCAATGATCGTCTACACATAGACGTCGTATTCATGAATAAATTAATGAAGGAATAATTCATATATAAAATGTTTATTTCTAATTATTATTTGTTTGAAAAACGTATTAATGTTTTCCTAAAGAATGTCGTTTTGATATTTACATGATTATTTCAATCTGTTTATGCTTTTTGAAACATTTTAATCTGATTATAAACAATGCGACGTCTTTGGAAATTATTTGAATGAATTCAATAAAAATGTATGTGCATTATACATTTTTCATACATTTGTTTACAACTGAGAGATTTGAATTAAGAATTTGCAAGATATTTTGTGATTGTTGTAACTGTTCTCTCCAACTTTTTAAAGGCAACACATCTGCAGTTCCTCTGATGTTGCAGATGTCCATGAGTGTCGTTGATCACCTCGGTGTTCTCGCCCCTCGTTTGCCTCCTTCTCTTATAAAAAAAAAACTATTCGTATAACAGACTGTTATTCTGCCAAATAAATGTATAGATCCATTTTGTATAATTCAATCCACTTTTTAATACTTATTTAGTAAAAAAACCAATGTAACATAACATTGTATGCTATTTCCAAATTTCAAATATTTATAATTATAAGAATCTTTGTAAAATATTTGCACGTAAACGGGACTCTGTCGACGCAGTTATTATGAAGATAATTTGTTTTTTTTTT